GGAGAATGGAAAAGCAAGTGGAAACAAGTAGAGGGTCTCAGGTTGGGGTGAAGCAGGTTTAAGGGTTTAAGCTGCTTGGGTTCTTTGTGGTGGGATAATGGGAATCAAATGGGAAAAGAGCATGGACAATCAAATGGAAACTGGGATGACGAAGGGATATTAAATTCTAGAGGGAAAAATGAGCATGTTACGAAACACGCGTAAACGTGGTAAAACACTATAGACAATTGATTATCTGCGTTCAACTCGGGTTTTTCCTACCTGGTTTTGTTAAGGGTTCAGACCTTAAGGCTTAGGGGCCAAAGGTATCCGTCGTTACCCAATGAACTTCCCGCAAGTACATCGGGGTCTGAACGTCCATTAAGGGTTGCTAGTACAAGTTGTATAAATGTGACATTGAGAAACATCCGCATTCGCGTTCGATCTCCTTTCCCAAGCCTTCGGCTTGCAGGATTCGTCTGAGCCAGTTATATGAGGACAATGGAAAAGAAATGGAAACTACACCAATATGATGGGGCATTATTGGGGTTGCAGTAGCGAATACGGGAATACGTCATGTGGGGCGTAGGGATTGCTTGCGTTGGGCTTCTGCAAGAATCACTCCCGGACGGCATGCTGCTGTCAAAAGTAAGATTGGACATACCCCCATTTTGAATGGCCTTCCTGGCTGCCACGATGGAATTTATTGTTGTTTTAGCCTGCAATCCTTTAATATGATGTTAAACAATGCCGGTACATATGGAGTTGCACATGCGCAAGAAGTCAAGTCCCTCCAACAATCCGGTGAGAAAACAAATTCCGGAGCTTGGTGCATGTTAATCCCCGCCCCGGGCCCTCTCCCCATATTAAATACTCCCAATATGCGGTATATTAGAATAATATTGAGAATAATTAAGATTAGGGGAAGTGGGGGGTTTAATACTGGGGGAGGGGATTTACAATAGTTCTCCAAAGCTCTTTCTAAATCCCTCTTTGGCACGCCCCGCAGCAGCGTCAGCATTACCACCTCTGATGTTTTGCAGTTCATCGCCCGAGGCACGGCGTTTTTGCTTCGAAGCTGCACGCACAGAATTCTAAGGGTAATGCACGAGACAATCAAGCTGAGGATGGCAATTCTTAGAACATCCAGGGCACAGCATTATAAGAGCGATCCATGAACATGTGAAAACTTCTGACCATATCGCCTGATTCAAGTCTGCGTGCCTAAAAAACTCAGGCTACTCGAATTCGACGGGTCATGGGAATGCAGCTGGAAGTCCAACTTCTGGTCCACGGCAGCCCAGACGGCGCCTCAGAATATGAAAGCATGATGGCAAAATTCAGGGACAATAGTATTTTAAAAAAATCCTAAGCAAAACATAATTCCATCAGCGTGTACCTTAGCGTTCATGTATCACTGGACCCCTTAGTTATAATCCCTTAACCCTCAACACAAAACGCCTCTAAGTATCTTGAGGGGATCTGCAACTACTCAAACTTGGAACAATGGGTCTTTGACTGCTTTATCGCCTGTTCTGTTAGCAGGCTCAGCAGAACTAGAGACGCTTGACGACCCAGAGCGGTCTTTGTCCAACTCTTGGTTCCAAAAAATGTCATGGCACCTGAACTTTGATGCGCTACTCGCAAGCTGCAACTCAGCGTGGATGTCAATCAGCGTAGCCACTAACGATAAGCCAAGAAACTCCGCCCTCCCTGAGAAGATTAATCCTTTGAGCAAAACCGCCATGCCCACGAAAAATCATTGACGTGACAGAAGGATCTTGGTCCTCACCTTTTCGAGAAAACAAACACCCGAACCTTTCGAAACGGATCACATGTATTCGCACTTCCGAAATCGGTACAAGTATCCAAAACATGGAACCCTTCTCACATGCCATTGTGACACTGGGAGAACTAATGCTTGTAACAGATTTCACTTTTTGGATCCTTTCGAGGGGTATGGCATCTTTCACGCTTACCCCCATGCTAAAGATCAACGAATTTCGGCACAAAGCTGGCCTGCGAGCAGGGCGATCCTCGGAATCAAGGATGTCATCCTGAAAGCACGTGTTCAGTAGTTGTCGAGAAGACTTCAAATTGATACATCTAATTTTAAAGAAGCGTAAAACATAATGGCATGACTTCCCGATGATGCAAGCCACCCTTGCATCCTGAAATATTCTGGGTTTAGGGTTTATAGGCTGTATAGGTTTTAGGGTTTAGGGTTTACAGGGTTTACGGGCTTTATGTTTTATAGAGTTTAGGGTTTAGGGCCTACACCGTGCATAGGAGGTTTATGTAAGGATTATTATGAGGATCCACTCCCCCGCTCTTCGTAAGAACCCGTAAGTTTAAATCTTAATAACTGAAGCCTGAACCGTACACCCAGAAGCCCTACACCCTCAAGTAAACCCACAACCCCGAAACAGTCTCAGCCCAGCAACCTCTTCGATTGACTAGACCCTACACCCTAACCCCACCCCGAGCCCTGAACCTTAATCCTAACATCGAACCACATGAACGCACATGAACCCCGCGAACCCCGTAGCTACACCTTAAGCTCCTTACCCTACACCTTAAACCTACACCCTTCCCCCCTAGCCCCTACACCGTGTTTGGGGACGCCTAAGCAACTGTACAACTCGACAGGAGCAGCACTCTGCAAATAGTCGTTCAACTGAAAAAAGTTGATAAGCAATACACAATGTCATGGATTGGGAATCATTTTTTCAGAGGCTCAGTCATACGGAAGGAACCAAAAATATGTTGAGTCTGTTGGGGTCCGAACTGATCCTAGACAGTGGCACTTGCACATGGGCTACAAAATTCCTGAATACATACCGGCAAGCATCCACATCCAAAACACATTGTGTTTTGCCCTCGTCGGTCTTCAGCTGGCAACGTGCCTCGGGGTTTCAGGTTTTATCTTCATAACTTTGCTACTATGTAACATGACAATTACAACATTTGTAATATTACTGACCACTCATGATGGCAACAAAAATTTGTACAAAGTGTTGAACGCTGTCACTAAATATGACATGCTCGCAAAAAACGCTCATTGAAGCTGCTCACAAGCGGCCTTCGCAGCGTTGTTCTCCATCACCCGTGGCTGCCGGAATGGCCGTACAGGCGTGGGTAAAGATGAGATTGATTCCTTCTTGCAGGCGCTAACAATGTCAAAAGTCTGTTTATGTCGCATGTGGGTGACCAAAGCCACAACTTTTGTGGACAGTTTTCACCCAAATAATATTTGCCTGCTTGTTCAAAAGGGATCGGTGTTGAAACAATGCCAATCAGCCGTTGATACATCGGCGGTTTAGGACGAAGACATCATGCATCACCCCTGGATGTTTATTGCTCTTGCCAAGGAGCTGCGCACGTTGTGCCAGGCAATGTTGGAGTGCTCCCAGCATCAACAAAAACCGCTAATGTGATTGGGCTTCGCTGCCCCACCGCGATCTCCAATGCAACCTGAACATGGAAATTGAATTCGCAAAAGCCCCTTGTGCGAAGATAACTTTGCACGAACTTGGTCCGGTTTGGAACGAGCAAACAAAGGCCTTGTCGTTGAAGAGCCCGATACCCAGTTGCCACAACCTGCACAAAATGTGAGCTCCACTCTGTACTTACCTCATGGTCCACATTGCTGAAGCGAAGGTATCTAGAATCTAGACTTTCACCTTGTCAGCCTGTACCTCACCATGAAAAGGAGTTTGCCTTTGTGTGCAACATTGAGAGGCCGTTGCTAGGCTGCCATGCAATACCTGCCACCAAAAAATCAATACCCGAGAACATAAAACAAAAAAACATGTGCTTTAAAAACGCTGACTGGGTCCTGGCGTAAAAGCAAACAAGGTGTCAAGCTCAGACGACAACAACACGCGAATGGTGTTGACGCAGGTTCGCAGAGCTTGCCCTGAAGTGGCACAATAACACAAAGATTGTGCTGATAAGAGCAAATGCACATACAACAGACCTTTTTCTTGGTTGCCAGAGCTTTATCCAGCGTGCTAGCCCGTGAAACACTGCCGTTCGAGACTGGATGAATTGCTGTGAACACGCAACATATTGATTGATGTGGCTGAAATTTGTGCACACCGGAGGAAGGCTTTCCGTTCATCATCTCCAGCAGTCTGTTGAGGTGGGGGAGGGGTGGGGGAGAGGTGGGGGAAGTATGCAAGGAACCCACGGGTGCAAAGCAAGAATAATGTTATAATGCGCGTACGAAGGGAAAATTGTATATTACCTAACTCCAAAGCTCCCAATGCAAAGCCTATAAGTCAGATTTGTTGAGGGCCGACATTGCAAGGTTTTCACTTGATCGAATTTTAAATTCCTCTTGAGGGTTCAAGGTCCTGGATGCAGGGTTGAGGGGTCGTGCCCGTTTACACAAAAAATTCAAGATTTTCAGGCTTGGCACTCCCGCCCCTGCTCCACCCCTTCCCCCTCCCCCACCGTGCTGCCAAGGTCTCTCAAGGCAAAACCTGCGGATTCTAGCCTAGGCTGATGTCGTGTAATATTTTCGTTTCCCCATCCACTTGAACCTTTTGCCTGCTGCTTTGCTTCTACCCTGCCATGCACTGCTGTGGTGGGGTGGGGGGTAATTACGTTCGCTGTATGACAAGCCTCAAAAACTCAAACTTTTTGCCTGCTGCTCTGTTTCTGCCACGGGGGTGGGGGGGGGTAGTTATGCTCATTGTTGCGCGCCCACCTTCGAACATTTCAGATGCCTTTGCGAAAGTGACATAGTCTTGGAATTCGCAACAAATGTTCAACACGACCGAAACCAGCCTGTTGCTTAAGCTCCTAGTAATATTTCTAAAGATCCTTTGCCCTTCATTGTTATTGTTACTACGACTATCACTACTATTATTGGGTACATTTTACATAATTGACGACTTGTTTTTCTAGACATGATCTCTTTGGTTTTTAAATTTCGGAAGCAATTTTGATGGCATTTGCGGCATTTTTTGCATTTCCTGCCCGTCTGCGTTGCACTTTTACAGCCTAAGGTTGCGACGGCCGAATTTTCGTGTTTGGTGATGCTTTAACTTCTCCGAAAGCGCTTCCGTATTGGTATTCACGACATTTTTTTCTCGGTGACGTTTTTCCTAAAATGCTTTATTTTCACATCTGCAGCTTATCTGCTCATGTAGGCAATAGTAGGCAGAAGGACAAAATCTGTAGGGTTTACAGTGGTTTTGACGCTTGCGCAATTTTGTTGATTTTCCCAATATTGCCCTATGGAGTTTTTCGGTTTTTGTGGGTTTGGGGAACCTCTTCTCTTCGAACTTGTTCCATTAGTAGGTACAGCAGCACGAAACCCTGATTTTGCGTGGTTTTTGCGCGTCATGTATACCGTGGTTTGGAGACCCATAACGGCCTGGGCGCCATAATAACAAGGACAACAGACTTATACCTTTAAACTTACAAAACCAATGACAACCACAGGAGCAATAACAACATGGGGGTGATGATTGCTCATGGGTATGGCACATCTAGCTCCGAAGTTTCCTCAACCATATTGGGGCCACTTGCTTTTGAAAACCGCAACCCAAAGACCACAATAAATTCCAAAGACCCTGCCCGTCGCTTCCCGGCACCATTCTCATGCCACGAGTTCGTCGCGCTCTTTCCCCGAATACCCCACCCAAGCCAGAACAGATTCCTGACACACCCTTACAAGCCCCACTACAGCGTATTTTCAGGATGGCAAAAGATACTATACCTTACATCCCCTGCTATGAGTTGCTTGCCAACAGAGGGTGGGTCTTTGAGGTCCTCGTACAAACTGCGGATCACGATTCCTAACACCTACATGCTATAATGGCTACTTTTGCAAACGCCTCCTCCAGCACCTGATACGCAAACTTTCAAAAGGGCAAATTTTGCGCAATGCAAGTAAGCTAAAACACTGGTTGTAATGGGTCCAAATGCGTATGCTGCTTCTCCAAAATGAAGCGAAACCTGTTGTTTCCGAACGTGGTCTGTGGCCACGGAACACTGCAAATTGTGGGGTATGCTACACTTCGGACATGTTGAATGCCGACAACAACTAAAAATTCGGCCCTGGCAACTTTAGCATAC